TTTCTTTCTTTCTTTCTTTCTTTCTTTCATTCTTTCTTTCTTTCTTTCTTTCTTTCTTTCTTCCCCCCCTCTTACTTCTGTTAGAGAAGAAAGGGAGATGTTTGGTCTTTTTGCTGCCTTTTTGGCTTACTGGTTATCTCTTTTGCACAATATGCAGATGTTGTTTAAGGCTATGTGTCCGTTGATAGCTGATTTGTCAGAGTGACAGAACAAAAAAATTGGCGATAATTTGTGTGAGAGAGATACAGTGGCCTTGTGACCTTAGTCTTCCAAAGTTCTTCTTCCCAAACTTATAATTTTGATTTTAGGTTTCTGGCCATAATGCACTCACAGCATTAGAACAGAGATGCCTCCAGATTACCATCATCCGGGTTCCCCCCACAACCTTGCCTGATCACTCCTTCCTGTGACTTACGTAAGGTTCCGTTCCAGGCGACCTCTTTGGGAGCCAATGATCTCCCCCAAGGCCACAAAGGCCTGGCCTAAGAAGTCCTGTGGATGAGACCAAGAAAAAGAAGGAGAGGTGAATCCTGAGACACGACCTAGCAGGGGGAGGGGAGAAAGGAGGGGAAGGGAGAGAGGAAAGGAAAGGAAAGGAAGGAGAGAGGAGAGGAGATGAGAGGAGGGGAAGGGAAGGAGATGAGAGGAGGGGACAGCTTCCCACCAAGTCAAAGATTTGATCATCCATTGTTCAGTTGGAGATGGTGATATCTCCAGCATGCTGCACTGACTGCAATCTGATTCTCCTGGGCAGGGTTAGGTTCTCCAAAAGTTTCAGGGACAGCATTAGCTGAAGACGTGGTGTTACCTCCCTAAACTGAGTAGACCTCCAAGATAGCAGGGAGGAGGTCATCCAATGTTTCAGAAGCCAAATGCTCTGCATGGTTCAACTTCAATGGGGCTTGCTTGGGATGTCTTCAAGTACTATTTGCCCAAACTCAACAACATACGCAACTCTCCCCCTAATCTGGGTTAGTGCAGCACATTAAGTCACGTGAAAATCCAAACCATAGTTCAATATGGACCAAGCCTATCATGTTTTGGAAATGCATCCACCAGGGTTTCACCTGGCTAAATGGGCTGTGAAAACCTAACCTTTGAACAGACACCTCCCCACTTAGAGTGGTTTAGTCTTTGCTTTCCAGTCTGGTCGGGTCCAGAAGTGGTATTCAGCTGGTTCTCTCTGGTTTGGGCGAACTGGTAGCGGCGGCTGCGGGAGGCTCCGCCCACCCGTCCCAAAGTAATGCACGAGCACTGCGCATGTGCAGAAGGCAGTGCGCCTGCATAGATGCGGCACATGTGCTCACATTTGAGAACCGGTAGGGAAGATAAGTGAATCCCACTGCTGGTCTGGTCCAATCAGATAGTGATCCCACATGATCCCTAGAGGGCGACACACAACTTACCTTCTATAGGTCAGGTTGGATAAAGCAGCATGTAAAAAAAAAAAAGGACAGTGGAGTTAGTGGCTTCTCAGCCGACCTCAGCTGAGAAAGCTCTCATCTGGTTAACAGATAAGAGTATAGCGCAAAGATCCATCAGTGATATCTTTATCTAGATATGTGACAATGCACAAAGGAAGAAGTGCTTTCCCCATGGGCTTTGGTCTAAAGGGAAACAACAGAGGGGATGGGGAGGCAGGGGGCCAAGAGGAGGAAAAATGTGTGATTCAGTCATTCATCCCATTCACTTTAGTTAAGTCATAGCATGGAATTCATTCATTCA